ATGTTCTTTCCATGGCTTGAGTCAGCTTTATCTTTCATCTTGAATGATTTGGACAGGTCATAGAAAGCTGAAGATCACATACATTTCATTTAACTTATGTTTGCTATTGTTACAGCTGACATATATGTATGATTTTTCGATGCCTTGAGTCCACTTTATGTTTCATCTTGAATGCATTGAAATAATCAACAAGTTGTGGAAAGCTGAGAAACACATACACTTAACTTATGTTGGCTATCGGTTACAGCTGAACTAAGTTGCATCGAAACTTGTACCAAGTGGCAGACTTGTTTTTGGACACTACAAACCCAACATTTGCTAGAGCTGAGATGCATCCAGTCACATATTGATGAGGTGTTCGCTGCTCGTCAATGGTATAGCACTCCCTCTATAACTTTTTATAAGACGTTTTTAGACACTGCTATAGACTCTAAAAACGTCTTTTAAAAGTTACAGAGCGAGTAGCAGCAACAGGGTGTTAGTGTCTTTCAATGGTAACAAATACGAAGGGGTTTCCTGGCGTAGTGGTTTCACAAAAGCAAATGCATTGGATTCGTCAGACAGAGCATAGCTTACTCTAGAATAGAATTTGTCTCTTGATTAAACAGGGCATGTCTCTCTCTTCTCCTCCCTCCCTCTCTCTCTCTTTCTCTCTTGATAAGAACAATGCATCTCTCTTTTCCTATATTGTATCACATTTCGTACTTGTGTACGCTAATCCGGAGTAGTTTATGCATATGCAATCACGTTACATAGATCGATGACGCGACCAGATCCGTTCTTACCGCCGACCAACTGAGTCGCTAGCGGACTGATTTACAGGTTAACTAATGCCTAGTGACGGGTGATGCATAGTGAATCGGACTATAAACTCAAAAGTAGTGCTCTAATCCATGGGTTAAGGCAAGCATCATGCACTTAGGCGTGCGGACAAGCGCTACATGCAAGCCCCAACGCCCGCTTGCACGTTACTAGTAGGCTGGTCATAGTGGAAGTAACATAGATAGTAACATACATGTCACATAAGCAAAAAAGATGATGTCTCAGGTAATTAATGAAGAAAAAGACAAATGGAGTAATATAATATGTTACCATCATATAGCGGTTTCCAATGCAAAATGAGACTATAAAGTAATAAATAAGATGATGCATAACACTACACATATGTTATTACCCACTATAAAAATAGTAACATAGATTAATAATATATGTATATTACTAGTCTAAATTACTCCCTACTATGATCAGCCGTACTAGATTCTTTATTCCCATGAACCTTTTGGGAGCAACGCACACATAGCGCCTATACACCACCGCCCACACACCCAGACAAGTACTCTAGAGTAAAAAATGTACGTATATACTTAGTCCCGGCCGACATGGTGCACGCATTGGGTGACGGCGTCACGTGCCGTACACGCCTAACCACGTACGTGCACGTGATGGGCTGTACAACTTTTGACTCGGTGCATGCATCGGCGTGTATGGCATCACGTGCATGCATCCATGTGTGTTTGAAATCACCACGAGTAGATCAGGCCAACTCTACCGTGCGACTGCAAACGAACGTCCGTTTTGTTCGGATTTTGTCCGTTTGGATATAGATTTGAAGTCGTGTCCGGACGTCTCCTGCGATGGCCGTGCACCCAGCACGCGGACGTATCCTTTTGCCCCATTCTGTCCGCCAGGGCCAAAAATGTCCAAATTTTCATCAAAACTAGTTTCCAACCCAAATATTTGTCTGAAAATTAAAATAATTTTACAACCCAATTGAAATTGTCTTTAATAAAATAGTTTTACAACCAAATCGAAATTGTCTTGACTAAATATAAAATGGACCAATACATCTATTGGTTGCCAATGTGATTCCACACGTGCTCAACCAAGTCATTTTAAAGATTCAAATGAGTGTGTCAATCACGCATCTCATGATGGAATTGGGCAAATTGTTCAAATATGGCCGGGTTTTGATGCAGGGGCTCAATATTTCCACCTTGATAGTCAAATCCTTGGTCAAAGATACTCTCATCACCCTCGTCCTCGACGATCATGTTGTGCATGATCACACAAGCAGTCATCACCTCCCAAAGCTTCCTTTCATCCCATGATAGTGCAGGGTTTGGAACGATACCCCACCGGGATTGAAGCACACCAAAAGCACGTTTCACATCCTTTCTAACACTCTTTTGCATTTGGGCAAATCTCTTTCTCTTCTCACCTTGGGGGTTCGAGATTGTCTTTACAAAAGTTGACCACTGAGGATATATACCATCTGCTAGATAGTATCCCTTGTTGTAATGGTGGCCGTTGATCTCAAAGTTGACAGGTGGGGAGTGGCCTTCTGCAAGTCTCGCGAAGACTAGAGAACGCTGCAGCACGTTGATATCATTGTGAGAACCTGCCATGCCGAAGAAAGAATGCTATATCCAAAGATCCTGTGATGCCACCGCTTCTAATATGACAGTGCACGCCTTGACATGCCCTTTGTACTGGCCCTGCCAAGCAAATGGACAGTTCTTCCACTCCCAGTGCATACAATCTATGCTCCCAAGCATGCCTGGAAAGTCTCTAGCTGCGTTGATCGTCAACAATCTCTCTGTATCAGCGGCAGTTGGCTGCCTCAAGTACTCTGGGCCAAACACCTCGATCACAGCCTGGCAAACTTGTACATTGACATCAGACATGTTGTCTCACTCATACGCACATACTCATCCACAGATCGTCTGGAATTCCATATGCAAGCATGCGGATGGCCGCGGTGCATTTCTGGTAAGAGGAAAATCCAAGCTTGCCAAGGGCATCCGTCTTGCACTCGAAGTATGGGTCATGAGCAACCACTCCCTCTCGGATACGATTGAACACATGCCTAGCCATTCGAAAACGGCGACGAAATTTATCCGGCTTGAAGAGAGGGGTGTTGACAAAGTAATCAGCATAGAGCAGGACGTGACCTCTCTCCCTGTTGCGGTTCAGGTTGGGAGCACGGCCAGGGAGTGACCCCCTGTACCGAGGAAGCTGCCGTTGAATGTGGTCGTGAACGACCAGTGCAGCCACCACAATATCTTCATCATCCGACGACGAATCGTCCGATGAACAAAGGAAGTGACGGAAGAAAAACTCGTCTTCACTGTCCATACCTTTGTGGGCAAAATGCCGAACACCTTGCGGGCGTGGTGGCGAAGAGGCCGCGATGATCACCTCGACGCAGCAGGGGTGGTTGCCGGCCGGCTACTGGCCGCTGTGGAGCTCTCGTCGGAAGATGCTGAGGACGCCGTGGTGCGTCGTCGACGGTCCTGTCCCCTCTGCGACCAGCAAAGACGGCGACGGCCAAACCTCCGATCGATGACCAAAACTACGGCCAAGGCGCGGGCGTGGTGGCGGCCATGTCGAGACATGGTATGGTAGGGACGGCCGGGGGCTGCGCGGTGAGGAGGCGGCCGGAAAATAGCGGCGGCGCCGGCGACGGGGCGGGGCGGGAGAGAGAGGGTGAAAGCGTTGGGAGCGGAGGGACTGCTAGTGTCCCCGACAGGCGGGCAACGGGGGGACAAGGGCGTGCGTCCAGACCATCCGCGCGCGTCCGTTTCACCCAAAACCGAGCACAAATTTGGACTGAGGATGGGTCAAAAACGGACGAAATTCGGACATTTGTCCATTTAAGGCCGTGCGCTGGCCGCGCTATTCGTTCATTTTATCCCAAACGAACGAGGGCGGAGGTCGCGCGGTGGAGCTGGCCTCGGTGTGTTGAATGAACGCAAACCTTACGGACACACAGACGAGACGACCACAAATCACTCCGGCCGGTCGTATCCACACTGCTAGTGCTACTTGCTGCCGCTTCTTTCCTTGGTCTCTCGTTGTTCTCTGCGGCGACTAGACTACAGTGGGTCTCCCCACAATCTGCGGCGGCGACGGCGTCGAAGGTACATACATTTCCTTCGACTCGTCCCCTCCCCTTCCTCCTCTGTTCCATACATTTCCTTGGATCTAGTTAGCGTACAGCTCTCTCCTCTTTTTCATTCTTTGTGGTTTTCATGTTGCAGAGCTCGATCTGTTCAACGTTCGCTCAGCAGAGGCGAAGAGTTGCTGTTCGCTGTTCTTCAGGATGCTCTTCTTCGATTGAGCCAAGCCAGGTGATGCCCTTTTTCTATTTTTATTTTGCCCTCTGTCACAAGTTCAGATTTTGCTCATCCTGAGAAGTGGAAACGATTGTGTTCCCACTACGGCCGTGCGTGTAGATCCAGAGCAAGGGGAGGGTCAGATCTTGCTCCATCTGTTTCTCCCCTCCTTATTGATCTCTTGTTTGCTACTAGTATTTCTTTTACTGTATAATTATATTACAGTAAAAGTGTTTAAATATGTACATTAGGAAAAAGAAAAAGGAATAAGATAAAATAAAGCAAAGAGAAAAAAATGGTCAGTGGCCAGAGCCTAGTATATCTATCCATGTTCTGAGGGGTGCTGCATTTTTTCTTTTCACTCTGTTCAGCTTTTCCAAACAAAATCAGATCATGCTTTACCGAACAAATTAGTATCTGAAAACAATTAGTACTATATCTAGTTTTTCCAAACAAAATCGGATCATGCTTTTCCAAACAAATTAGTAGTACCACGAGCTGTTACTTTCACAAAACACAAATGTCTATCTTTTGCTCATCCGGTGGTTCTCTGAAAACAGTTAGTATGATTTTTTGCTGATTCTGACATGAATGTATTATTTGCAGAATTGGATCTATATTCTCCAGTAGTTCATCTTGGGTTGCTGCAAATTGGATTTGAAGGAGCTGCTATTCAAGGTACCCATCTTCTGCTTCTGCTTCTGCGTTGGAAAGAAACAATGCATATGCGCTATGTTTACAGTCACTTTCACCAACCAATCAGGTTCAGGTTTTGCTCATTCTGTCTTTTGAAAACCATCATGTTTGCATTACAGAATTTCGACCCAAGGACAATGCTATAGCGGTGTGCAGATCAGAGAGCAAAGACAAATAAAATATCGAGGTATGGAGGCCGCTGCTGGGGCGTTGAGCCCTGTCCTCCGTAAGCTCGGTGAGCTGCTCGCCGGAGAATACAACCTGGAGAAGCGAGTAAAGAAAGGTGTACAATCACTTCGTACAGAACTGGAGATGATACACGCCGTACTTCGTGAGGTTGGCAAGGTGCCACTGGATCAGCTCCAGGAGCCGGTCCGGATTTGGGCTGGCAAGGTGAGAGACCTCTCTTGCGACATGGAAGACGCTGTTGACGACTTTCTGGTGCGTGTGGATGAGGGTCCATGCAGCAAGCCAACGAACATGAGGAATCGTGTCAAGAAGTTCCTCAAGAAGACCACCAAATTGTTTGGTAATGGCAAAGCACTTCATCAAATCTCTAGTGCCATCAAAGAAGCTCAGGACCTTGCCACGGAGTTGGTGGGGCTGCGTAAAAAGTATGAGCTTGACATGCGTAGCACTAGCAATGGTGCTACCATTGACCCTCGTGTGTTAGCTCTGCACAAAGATGTAGGGGAGCTTGTTGGCGTTGACTGCACAAGGGATGAGCTTATCAAAACACTGATTTGTGAGGACGGGAGTTCCAAGGAGCAATTGAAGACCATCTCTATTGTTGGTGTTGGTGGGCTAGGCAAGACAACACTCACCAAAGCAGTCTATGAGAAGATCAAAGCCCAATTTGATCGTGTGGCTTTTGTCCCAGTGGGTCAGAACCCAGATATCAAAAAAGTTTTCAAGGACTTACTCTATGAACTTGACAACGAAAAGTTCAGTGACATTCATAATACAACACGGGATGAAAATCTACTCATCAAGCAAATCAGTGATTACCTTGTGGATAAGAGGTATTCATCACGTAGTGCTTGTGTCCTTTTGTATACATTTCGGAAATGTGTGAAGTAGTGAGATGTATACTGAGTTTCATATCTTCATTCCTTATTTGTTATACTTTTATATCTGTAGTATTCCATTTCTTTTTAAGCAAATTCGGTTTCTTTCTTTTTTGCACAGTTGCCTTATTTTTGTCAGTCCTGTATACTTTTAAGCAATTTCTGTTGCATTTCTTAATATTTTTGCATGCATATCCTTAGTGGTTATATAATCCTGTGGTTTGCTTTAGTACCTTATAGTTTATCCTTGTTACAAAATTCAGTTGTATGTAGATGACTTGACAACTAATGCTATCAAAATTATTGGCATAGGTACCTCATCGTAATTGATGATATATGGGAAGAAGAAATATGGAGATTTATAAATTGTGCTTTGTATAAAAACAACCTCCATAGTCGGGTAATCACAACAACCCGCAATGTGAGCGTGTCTGAAGCATGTCTCTCTTCTAGTGATGACATGATTCACAAAATGAAACCTCTTTCTGATGAAGACTCGCAGATACTCTTCCATAGAAGAATATTTCAAAGCGAAGAGAAATGTCCAGAAGATTTGCAAGCAGTATCAAGAGAGATATTGAAGAAATGTGGTGGTGTGCCATTAGCCATCATTACAATAGCTAGCCTTCTAGTCAGTAACCAAAGGATAAAGCAGAAAGAAGAATGGATGCACGTGCACAGTTCGATGGGCCGTGGAGTTACAGAAGGTGGTATTGTGAAGGACATGAAGAGGATATTATCACTCAGCTATTTTGATTTGCCTCCGCATCTGAAGCCTTGTTTGCTATACCTAAGTATCTTTCCTGAAGACTTTTCCCACCTGGAGCTATGCCAAGGGTTCAACACCTTGAGTTCTGGGTCTCCGCACTGTCGATCGCGAGTGGTGAGGTTGACTGCAGCATGGAGCACCTCCCTTCTCTCGAGCGTGTCGTGGTTTGGCTGGAGCATGAGAATTCCAGCGATGAAGAGATGGAGACAGCCAAGGCTTGGCTGAGGCGCGCAGCACAAGCCCATCCAAAATGTCCGACCATTCACATCCATGACTGTTGAGTGCTGACATGCCTTTGCCGCCAGCAGCCAACCATAAGAAATCCACTGCAATTCTGTATTGCAAAAACCTTGGCTCCCACAGCAGCCAACCATATAACTCGCCCGCTCTCCCTCTCCCGTTTTTTCATTAGGCACATACGTCCCAGATAATCAAATTGAACTAATGAAATGTGAGTTACATATCAAAAAAATATCACTGTTAACTTCTAACGCATATGAACTCAATGTGACATAATACATATTTCAATCAAACTAGCGATCTAGAAATGCACAGGAGCCTTATAAACCCAGAGAATAGGGCCACAACTTCAAACATCAACCACTAAATCATGGTCAGTCCATGTTCAAACACAATAGTCCAATCACAGTCAGTCAGAGTTCATTAACCAGGACAACATTACATAATCCATAATCGACCACAATGTTCACAACAACCCGCAATGTGAGTTTGTCTGAAGCATGTCTCTCTTCCAGTGATGACACGATTCATAGAATGAAACCTCTTTCTGATGAAGACTCGCGAATACTCTTACATAGAAGAATATTTCAAAGCGAGGACAAATGTCCAGAAGATTTGCAGGTAGTATCAAGAGACATCTTGAAGAAATGTGGTGGTGTACCATTAGCCATCATTACAATAGCTAGCCTACTTGCTAGTAATCAACGAGTAAAGCAAAAATATGAGTGGATGCATTTGCACAATTCGATTGGCCGTGGAGTTACACAAGGTGATATTGTGAAGGACATGAACATGATATTATCACTCAGCTATTATGATTTGCCATCCCATCTGAAGCCTTGTTTATTATATCTAAGCATCTTTCCTGAAGACTTTGAGATTAAGAGAGATTGGCTGATATGGAGGTGGCTTGCTGAAGGGTTTATCCAATGTGACAAAGAAGAAACCAGGCTGTTTGAGATCGGAGAGCGCTACTTCAACGAGCTCATGAATAGGAGCTTGATCCAGCCAGCGAAAATCAATGACGAAGGAACGGTAGTAACTTGGCGTATACATGATGTGGTGCTTGACCTTATATGCTCACTGTCAAGTGCGGAAAATTTTATCTTCATATTGAATAATGCTGAGTGCCATGCACCTAATCTGCAAAGGAAGTTTCGCAGATTATCACTTCATAATATCAAGGCAAAGGTTCAAAATCATCAGTTTGATAGCACCAGCCTGTCAAAAGTGAGGACCTTTGCTGTTTTTTCTCCCGTTGCTTGTGATTGGTTGCCATCTCTCTCAAGCTTCCATTTTTTACGTGTGCTGGATCTTGGAAATTGTGGCAGCCATGAAAGTAGCTCTGGTCTCAACCTCAAGTATGTTCGGAATTTAATTCACCTAAGATACTTAGGGCTCAAGGGTGCAGATGTTCACGAACTCCCAGTGGACATAAGCAAGCTGCAGCTTTTGCAGATACTGGACATACAAGGAACTAGAATAAATGAGTTACCTGCAAGTATTGTTCAACTAAGAAATTTGATATGCCTATCTGTCGATAGTGGCTTGAGGCTGCCAAAAGGAATGGGGAACTTGATGTCCCTTGAAGTGCTGGAACGAGTAGGCTTATCCTCATCTTCTCATATTGTGGAAGAGTTGAGGCATCTGACAGAGGTTATGACACTCAGTATTAACTGTGATAACATGGACGAGGATCTGATTGATATATTAATCAAGTCTCTTTTTTTTCGAAAAGGGGGGTCTCCCCGGCCTCTGCATCAGAACGATGCATACGGCCATCTTATTAACCAAATAACAAAAGGTGCCAACAAGGTTCCACAGTCTCCGGCCAAACAAAAAGCAAAGGATAAATGCCGCTCACACAGAGCGACAGGCGGCTAGATACAGAGACTAGCCGGAAAAAGATGCCACAACCAGCTGGCTAAAAATAGATAGGGAAACTAATTGCCTATCCTATTACATGACCGCCATTCAAACCGGTTGAAGATATCCCGAGCTACCATCTCCCAGCGGATAGATCCAGTAACCAAATGCTTCCTGGCCTCCATCGGAGTGAGTAGCGACCACGAACGGATCAGTGCCGTAGCTCGGAAAATAACCTGCAAAGAATGAATCCGTGATGTTCTGTTAAAAACCAAATCATTTCTGCAATTCCAGATAGCCCATAACAAAGCACAAACTCCAACCCGAATATGTCTTGCTACTTCAGGCTCAACCCCATTAAGCCATGTCCCAAATAAAGCATTGACCGAGGTCGGTGGAGTAATATTAAAAGCAATATGGACCGTCCGCCAAAGAACTTTGGCCAACGGGCAATCAAAGAATAAATGCTCAATCGTCTCATCCCGATCACAGAAACTACACCTAGTAGGTCCTGTCCAATTGCGTTTAATCAAGTTGTCCTTTGTTAAAATAACTTGTTTATGGACAAATCACATGAACACTTTAATTTTTAAAGGAACTTTGACAGCCCAAACATACTTGGAAGTTGGAATAGCATTCGAATTAATAACATCAATATACATTGATTTAACTGTAAATACTCCAGAGCTAGTCAACTTCCAGCGCAAAATATCGGGATGGTGAGAAAGTTGAATCTCCATCAGTCTCCTAACTAGATGAAGCCATTCTTCCCATCGATTGCCCGCTAGCGACCATCGAAACTGAATATTAAGGGGGACAGATTGGAATACCGTTGCCACGGACACCTCACGTCGTTGAGCAATCCGATATAAAGACGGATATTGAATGGCTAAAGGTGATTCACCAAGCCAAGTATCCTCCCAGAAACGTGTACTTGTACCGTTTCCAATAACAAATCTCGTCCTATTAAACATAGATTGTTTGACTTTCATTAGTCCTTTCCAGAAAGGCGAATCAGTCGGCCTGACTGCGACCTGGGACAATGTTTTAGTCTGGAGGTACTTGTTGCGGAGGATCTGCGCCCACGTGGCCTCCGTTCCGGAAGACAGCTTCCACAACCACTTACTAAGAAGGCATCTGTTCTTAACTTCAAGATTTTCAATACCAAGACCCCCTTGGTCTTTCGGTCTACAGATGATGTCCCATTTAGCAAGCCGGTATTTTCTTTTAAGTTCATCACCCTGCCAAAAGAAACGCGGCCGATAGAAGTCCAGTCGTTTCCTAACACCAACTGGGACCTCAAAGAAAGATAAGAGAAACATAGGCATACTCGTGAGCACCGAATTAATCAAAATCAAACGGCCTCCGTATGACAGGAGCTTACCCTTCCAACAGCTCAGTTTTTTCTCAAATCGATCTTCGATGCATTTCCATTCTCTGTTTGTTAGCCTACGATGGTGAATCGGAATACCAAGGTAAGAGAAGGGTAAACTCCCCAACTCGCACCCAAACAATTGCCTATAAGACTCCTGGTCGTCTTTGGCTCTACCAAAGCAGAACAACTCGCTCTTATGAAAGTTAATCTTTAACCCGGTCAATTGTTCAAACAGGCATAACACTAGCTTCATATTTCTTGCCTTGGCCAAATCATGCTCCATAAAGATGATTGTATCATCGGCGTACTGAAGGATGGAAACACCTCCCTCAACCAGATGAGATACCAACCCACCCACTTGATCATTCTCTTTAGCCCGTCCTATCAAAATTGCTAACATATCCACCACAATGTTAAACAGGATAGGGGACATCGGATCTCCTTGTCTTAGGCCTTTATGTGTCTGGAAATAATGACCTATGTCGTCATTCACTTTAATTCCCACACTCCCTTTTTGCGTAAATGAGTCGACCTGTCGGCACCAGGCTTCATCAAAACCTTTCATACGCAATGCCTGTTGGAGGAATGACCACTTAACCTTATCGTACGCTTTTTCGAAATCCACCTTAAAAATTACGCCATCTAATTTCTTGGAATGGATTTCATGGAGCGTTTCATGAAGAACAACCACCCCTTCAAGGATGTTCCTGTCCGGCATGAAAGCAGTTTGGGATTGCTGCACCACAGACTGCGCAATTTGTGTGAGCCTATTAGTCCCGACCTTGGTGAAGATTTTGAAACTCACATTGAGGAGGCAGATCAGTCTGAACTGCTCAATCCTCACAGCGTCCGTTTTCTTCGGGAGCAATGTGATAGTTCCAAAATTCAAGTGAAATAGTTGAAGCTGTCCAGAGAATAAATCATGAAACATCGGTAGTAGATCCCCCTTAACAATGTGCCAGCACTTTTTGTAGAACTCAGCCGGGAACCCATCCGGACCGGGAGCCTTATTGTTCTTCATTTGTGCAATAGCATCAAATACCTCCTTTTCTAAGAACGGGGCAACCAGGATATCATTATTAGTAGCAGACAATTGAGGCACGTCCTCGATCCTGGACTCATCGAGGGACACACAATTGTCCTCCGGCGGTCCAAATAACTGTCTATAGTATTCGGTAATATATGTTTTGAGATTATCCTGACCTACAATAGTGCCCTCATCCTGCTCTAGCTGGAAGATCCGCTTCTTTCTGTGCTTACCATTAGCAATGAGGTGAAAGAATTGAGTGTTCGCGTCCCCTTGGACTACTTTGCGGACCTTGGCACGCAAAGCCCACTTCAATTCTTCTTCGTGGAGAAGTTCTTTCAGCCTCTTCTCCGCCTCATTTTTAACCTGGAGCTCGGCGGGCAACAACATCGCGGATTCGGCTTTTACATCCAAGGCCTGTACAAGAGAGAGAAGCCTATCCTTCTCAATTTTATACACCCCACTGAGGTGCTTAGCCCAACCCCGTAAGAAACTCCTCAAATGCCTAATCTTATTCTGCCAACGCTCGACCGCCGTCCTTCCTCCAACACCCTTGGCCCACTCCCTGGCTATGATGTCTAAGAACCCCTCGCGTTCGAACCAGGCCATCTCAAATGAGAAGGTGTTTTTGTTACCCATATGGTTCGGCTCCCCTGAGTCAACGAACAATGGTGTGTGATCGGAGATTCCCCGCGTGAGAGCTTGCACCGTAACAAGAGGGAACTTCTGTTCCCATTCCACGCTGGCGAGAACCCGATCAAGCTTTTCATACGTCGGGTTTGGCAGAGCATTAGCCCAGGTAAAGTTTCTACCAGAAAGCTCTATCTCCCTTAGATCTAAGCTTTCAATAATGGTATTGAACATAAACGACCACCTGCCGTCAAAGTTATCATTATTTTTCTCCTCTCTCCTCCTAATGATATTGAAATCACCCCCGACCAGAATCGGAAGCTGTTCGGATCCACAGATCCAAACAAGATCTGCTAGAAACTCCGGTTTAAGCTCGGGTTGTGCGGCACCATAGACCGCTACCAAAGCCCAGTTGAACCCATCAACTTTAGACCTAACTCAAAACTTTACTGCGAAATCACCCATTACTACACTTCGGACTTCAAGGGAATCGCATCTCACACCCAGTAAGATACCTCCCGATCTACCTCGTGGCAGGAGACAATGCCAGTCGAAATCAATACCTCCCACAAGAGAGGAAAGAAACTGCGGCGCAAAATTCTCTCTTCCTGTTTCCGATAAAGCAATGAAATCTAACCGATGTTCCAGAGAAGCTTCAGCAAGAAACCTTCTTTTAGCCAAGTCCTTCAGACCTCTGCTATTCCAAAAGATTCCTTTCATAGTTCATCATGGAATTTTTTAGCAGTCCGAACTCTAGCACTCCTCCGAACTGCAGAATCAGGATAAATCTTTCGGTTCCACTTACGCTTTGGCTTAGTGAGCTCCGTCACCCGGTCCTCATAACCGGGTTGAACGGAACCGCCAGCTACATCATCTAAGGGCACATCCTCGCCCTCTGACTCCTGATTAGAAGATGCTAGATCCGCACATAGATTATTTAGCACTCTCACCCCTAACGCAGCAATCTCCTCATTGTTCATGGGTTTGACCGCAGCAAGATTACGAATAGTCTCTAAGGCCCGCTCTGCCTCTAAATCTAACATATCATTCACCGAATTGGAAATTTCATTATCAGTAGCGCCTAATGAAACTCCTAATTGGTTTGCATTATTAATAATCTCCTCAGGAGCAAAATGCAATAAAGAATTAGATATGTTAACGGACATACCAGCAGAGCTCGCAGCATCGTGAAGCTTGGCCGCCCTCATAGCGCACCGCTGCTGCATATCATCCACCTCCGGAAGGTCCCGAACGCGAGCACTCATCCGTCTCCCCGTCGAGACCGGGTCTGGGATCCCGCCAAAGGCAATAACCTCCTCTCGAGAATGAGGAGGCCGCGGGCTCCCAGTGCCCTCGGACAAGTGCCCGGCGGGTGGGACAAGAGACGGGACAACTGGGGCCACCTGCCCACTCCCTCCTCCTGCCCCGACCACCGGCTCAGAGCGAAGTG